TTGGTATTATGTGAATGCATAGAGCTTAAAACTTGAAATTCAATATGATAATTAATATTGGAAAATAAGTTTGATATTTTTCATAATGTGCTCTAAGTATGCAAACTGAACTAAATGGTACTCAATTTGAAACACTTTGGTTTATAGTGAACAGATGAAGCTGCAATTTTGAAAAATTTTATTGGGGTCCTTTTTGGTGGTAGGTTTGTCAAAAATAGGTGGTTTTGTAAATGTGCACTAAAACTACTTAATTGTACTATATTTGGTACTAAATGAAATTTGATATTGGGGTCGCTCTTCATGCGTAGCCTCGACATCTGGAAGTGGTTTTGGAAGTGTGTTTTATAACTGCACGGAAAGTACTAAATGGTACTAAATTTGGTATTGGGTGAAGGAATAAGGTTGCTATTCTCAAATTTGATATCGAGGTCTCTGTTCATATCTGAAACTGAGATCTGGAGGTGGTTTGGCAAACGTGTGTACTAAATTTGGTATCAGGTGAGGGAATAGAGCTGTAATCCTCAAATTTTATACAAAGGTCTGTGTTGGTATCTGGAATTGCGATAAAAAGGTTGTCCTGAAAATGTGTACTATAATTGTACGTAGAGTGCTAAATAGTACAATATTTTCGTTTTGGGTTAAGGAATAGACCTGAAATCTTAAAATTTGGTAAGGATGCCATTGTTTGGTGTCTGTGGTTGATAAATATATATTATGCTTGTAGGAAAAGTACTTAGGGGTTCTAAATTGGGCATTGGGAGAATGGATAGAGCTGGAATCCCGAAATTTGATATTGAGGTATGTGTTGATATTTGGTTGTGGTTTTGCAAATCCCTACTTCAATTGCACAAAAAAGGAGAAAATAGTACGAAATTTTTGCATTGTACACTATGAGTTGGGCACTATATACAGATCGCAATTATCGTCCGATCTTCACGAAATTTTTATGCGGGCTGGGTTAAAGCCAGAATAGAAGCCCATAATTTTTTAATTGGCAAAATATTTAAAAATGACCCAAAAACCGACATGGAATTCGCATAAGGTTAAGGATTAGGAAAAGGTAGAATCATAACATTTTGGATGGCAAATAGTATTGAGACTGTAGAAGAAAATTTTGAATTTTTTTAGAAACCAAACGGTAAAATTCTTTTAGGACGGCATTTCATTATTTTCAAAAGAATGGGTTTGTAGCTAAGGGGCCAATATGGTGTTCGCCGCTTATGTAGGAAGAAGTGGACCCATTTTGTAACCCGGGCTAAGTGTGGTAAGAAGTACAAGGTAAGATGAAAAAACTGCAACCAACTTCAGACTGCTGTCATTTCTAAGCCACTCGTCCGACAGCTGTTAAAATTATTCCAGTGATAGCTCATTATATCGTTTACAAGCGTACAAAAGCATTTTGGTAAGAATTTTCCAGAAAAAATGTTATTCGTGATGAAATTCAAGCGTGATAGTGCGATTTCTTTATATATGGCTGGAAAACCAAAAGTGGCTATCGTTAGAGAACTCCAGAATTTAAATGCGAATAAATGTTTTTTATATCGTACCATCGCTCGTTACCGTGATACTGGAAGCGTAGCCCGACGTTAAGGAAGTAAATGGAAGAAACAGCAACATCAGTAGAAATAATTCGAAATGTAAAGAAGCGACTTGATCGAAACGCAGTGGCCGGAAAATGGTTCGTGAGCTGTATTGCAATATTCCATTCGGCAAATATTGAATATTGAGCTCGGGGTAGAGCTATTGAAATTCCAAAAAGTGCAGGAACTTACACCGTAACGGAAAGAAAATAGACTCAAAAGAGCTAAAAAGTTGCTTCGCTTGGTCGAAAGTGGTGAACTGCCGAATTTGGTTTTCTCCGATGATCGTGTTTACTTGCCAAAGAGGTTAGCTGAAAATGTGCACCTTCGGTTGGCCATCAGAACTCAAACGCCGGCCATGGTGATGGTGTGGGCCAACATAATAGCCGATGGTCGCTCCCCGATTAATCGCCCGTGGCATCAGAATAAATGCCGAATATTATCGCGAAAATATTATGGAGGGTGTATTAAAACCTTGGGCACTCAAACATTTTGGCCGCAGACCTTGGACATTCCAACAGGACTCAGCACCATCGCACTTAGCACGCGTCACTCAGGAATGCTTACAAAATGAGGTTCCTCGCTTCATTTCCAGCGCACAATGGCCACCAAAATCTCCGGATACCAATCCGTTGAACTATTGTGCCCGGAGTATTTTGTAAAGCAAGGTTGGCACTAAAAAGTACCAAAGTGTCGATCACCTCAAGCAAGCGTTTCGCCGGGAATGGGCCAAAATATCGCAGAGCAACATTCAGGCAGCATGTGACGGTTTCATTGGCCGTTTGAAGGCCATAATCCGTGCCAAAGGTGACCAATTCGAACAAATCTAAACTCATTCTAAAATTTGATGCTATTTCCGACATTTGTTGCTTTCATTCAATAAAATAAAATTAAAAAAATGTAAAAATAATGGCGTTTGATTTTGTTGCAGATTTTTTATCTCACCCTGTATTGAGTCTGTAAAATGGAAATTTTGAAATTTTTAATTCCTATGTCAACTGTCAAAAACCAAAAGGTAAAATTCTTGCCGGACGGTATAGGATTATTTCCAAAAGAAATGGGCCTGGACCTAAGGAGGCCAATATATTATTGTGTTCGCTGCTTATGCGGGAAAAAGTGGACCCATTATTTAACTCGGGCTAAGTGTGATAAGAAATAAAGTGTGTTTTTTTAAGTTAAATTAAATTTTAATCAATTTTTTTTTATTATTCGATAGATCAATACGTGACATTAACATTTGATTTGAATGATTTCGGGCATATGGGCACAACGGCGGTTCTTGACGAAGTGCATTCTGGACGTCCAATTTTTGGCGACTTTTTCGAGCACTGCTGGCCGTATGTCACGAATAACATGAACAATGCTGGCCTCAATTGCTGCTGGTTTATCAGCATAAACCAGTGACTTCATGTAGCCCCACAGGAAATAATCGGGAGGTGTCAAATCGCACGACCTTGGAGGCCAATTGACAGGTCCCCTTCTCGAAATCTACTTATCGCAAATTTTGATTTCAATAAGTCGATGGTTGCGTTCGCTGTATGGCACATAGCGCCATCTTGTTGAAACCACATCTCCTCCGGATCAATGTCATCCATATTTTTAAACAAAAAATCATTGATCATGGTGCGTTAACGATCTCCATTGACCTAACGCGAGCTCCGGCCTCATTTTTGAAGAAATAACGTCCGATGAAGCCACCAGCGTGAAAACCGTACCATACGGTGCATTTTTCTGGATGTAATGGAGTCTGTAGGGTCTCTTGTGGATTGGTCTCACTCCATATGCGGCAATTTTGCTTATTAACAAACCCGTTAAGCCAAAAATGCGCCTCATCGCTGTACATAATTTTGCGATAAAACAACGGGTCATTTGCCAACTGCTCTAGAGCCTGATTTTCAAAGTAAATTTGGATAATTTCGTAGCATTGTTCAAGCGTGAGTCTATTCATGACGATTTGTCAGAGTATACTGAAACAAATAATAAAAGTTTCATCAACATTTAATTTTTTGTGTTACTTTTTCAATTTAAATTTCTATCTAGCTTAAAAAACACCCTTTATTAGAATGCTACCGTCGTAATATTTTTACCCGCCAGGAGACAGCCAGACAAGCAGTTATAATTAAACTTACTCTTAATGCTCTGAAACGGGCCCACAAACTATTATTCCGATGAGACACGTTATTATATACCGTCGGTAGCCATAATGTTAAAGGTATGGAATTATTTTGATTACGCATATTACATTTGAAAACCAATATTTGTTTAAAGCTTCGGAATGGTAAAATCGCCTTACCTTTCCTTAGAGTAGTATTACTTCCCTTAGTGAACGTGCATTTTCCAAATCCCTCTTGTCAATTTTATGGAAGAATATGACATTTTCCTCCATTCTCCCTTCCGAATAACCATTTCCTGACAAATAACTCACGACAACTTAAAAACCTGCCAAATCAACACTTATTTGCCGCTGAATAATGCAATTTATGAAACTAACTACAAATTGCTGTAACCTTTCACCTGCCCTAAAAAAAAAAACCAAGTCAGCGAATAATAAATGAGTTCATAAAAAAAATTTTGATTTCATTGCAATGCTAATAGAGAAAATTACGAAATATTTTCCACAACTACTCGCCAAATATGGTGAATGTTGGATTTGGGCTTCAACAATAAAACGATATGCAATTCAAATTATATTATTTTTTTTAACCAAATTTAGTAAAACAACTTCCTTTTAACCGGGTCACATTGTTGTTGTGTTTTTTTTTTCTGTTTTTAAATTAACATTAATCCGACACTCAGCTGACCAAACCCCCCAGTGGAATGGGTATAAACAGGTACCCAATGTTGGACGTTGGAGGAGAGGTAAACACCCAGCTAAACAACTACCGGAGATCATCATAGCTGGTCAGAGAGAAAAAAATTTGAACAATATTTGTTACCAATTCAAATATGTTTTATGTGACTACCCCTCAGCGAATGCAGCTAAAACAATGAATTACACACAACGCAAAAAAAAGTTGGAAATAGTAAAAGTAATTTTATTTCTAATGCCAGCAACAGCTGTTTTTCCATCAGCTTTGTTGTTGTCGTCGTCGTTGTTGTTGCTGCTGCTGTTGTCTTTAATTTTTAAGAGGACAACATGCAATGGTTTTCTTGACTTCTTAAATTGTTATTCGTGTTGATAATGTGTCAGCAACAAAATGCTGCAGTTCAGCCGGCCAATTCCGATACTGGTTACTGCTGCCGCCGCTGCAGCAACATCTAGAAGCGCCCAACCTGACTGGTTGGCTGCTTCATATTACTGCCTTACTTTATATCTAAGATTTTTCCCTCATTTTCATTTGGCGCTTTGCAGAAAGAAAAAAAAACGCAATAATTTTTCGGCTATAAATACTATTTGCAATTGGAACAAGTTATCCAAAGCCAAGTTAACTCTGTTAGCCATCAGAACTATCAGCATTTTCTGCTCCTAAAAAAAAACGAAATCCTTTGAAATCAAAATGTTCAAGTTTGTAAGTAAAGAGTGGAAAATAAAGAAAAAGAAAAAAAAAATTATATAAAAAATATCGTCCTTAAATGAGTTCATCAAAATGTGTAAAAAAGAGAACAAGGAATACAGAAAAAAGGATAAATATCCTGAAAGTGAAAATTGAACAATAAATATTTTATAGAAAGGACCATAAGTTCTCATGACCTCACTGAACTTAGAAAACGAAGTTTTTGGAGCGTCAATTTTTTGTGTTGTTATGAAATTGTTATTATTACAATAAGAAAAAAATATTAAACATAAAGGTTTAACTGAATTGTAAAACAAAAGGAGTGATAGCCGGGATCAATATTTGTTTGTCGGTATCAATCTTGGTTTTGCATATTCATTATAGAATTTTTTTCCATATGGAATCATTCTTGAAAAGTATCCCATCAAGTGTGTCTGAAGAACCTTCCAATGGAGGGAGAAACGAAAGATTGGGTTTATTTTCTCATTGGCTTTTAATCTTAATCTCAAATTTGCGATTACTCGAAGTAATGCGTTTGAATTCCTTGAAATTCTCTTAGAAAATGTACAGTTGATCTAGCTACGTTCGCCAGATACACCCAACCAAACTCTCAAAGAATCTGTACAATATAATATTTGGACCGTGCCCAAGGATTAATAATGTGGGGTCGATTCTCTTCTTTAACTTCCACCAAAAATGGGAGAGAAGGGAGAAGACGATTAAGATTAAACAAGTAAAAAAGCTGTAAGTTCGGACGGGCCGAGGGGAATATGGAAAGAATTTAGCAATTCTCAAAAACAATAAAATCTGTTAAAAATTCGATTAAAATCTTAAAAATACCGAATGTAGCTGTTATAATAGGGTCTATACGACGACAAGGACCTGCATAGGTAACTTTTGTCATAAGCCATTACAATATCCAAATGCGAAACTTAAAAAAATCGGCGAATAATGTAGCTTAAATCATCAAAATACCGAAAATCGGGAGGTTCGGTTATATGGGGGCTGTACGAAGACGTGGACCTGCACTGACAATCTCCTGTTATAGGCTGTAGCATCCATTGCGAACATCAATGTGAAAAGCCAATTTAAAACAATTCCGGTAAATAATGTCGCTAAAATCATCAAAATACCGAATATCGGGAGGTACCGTTATATGGCGGCTATACGAACATGTGGATCTACATGGCCCAATTTCAATACCAAAAGTCCTGCAGACATAATAAACATTTGAGTAAATTTTCATCAACTTACTTCATTTCGTTCGGAAGCTAGGGTGATTTAGGCTGATCAAGAAAATATATACTTTGTGGGGTCGTGGTGTTACAAACGGAATGACAAACTTAATATACCCTCCATACTATGGTGGAGGGTATAATAATATCCATAAGTCATCCTTCTAGAGAAATGACCCCATCAAATGTGCCTTAAGAACATTCTAATGAATGAAGAACCCAAAATGTCTTTAAAATCATATATCCTCAGCTTTAAGGCTATAGGAGATATATATAGTTTGTTACCCCAAAATGTTGGCTATCTAAAATGAAGCTTTTAGATTCCCCGAAATCCGAATCAGAACATGTGGGATTGGTTTATACGTGACCACCTGAGTGATGCGTACGTGATGCGGTGAAAGGAAGTATATTCGAGGAGTGCAAACGGTGTTTAATGTACTCTTCATATCAAGTCCAGGGATTAGAAATAGGGGTCTATTTCTTTAGACTCCTACCTACAAAAGGTTTAAAATTTTCATAAACTCACATATCTCATACACAGTACAGAGAGCCGATTTGAACGCACGATTACGGCACATAATTATATTCATGTTCTTCACCATAAAATGAGGGTATATTCAATTTGTCAAAACATTTGCATTACCTAGATCAGCATTAAATTCTAATCCCGAAAACATAATGGTCGCAACTTTTTACATTGATTCTTGAAATTCAGTACAATAGCTTCTATTATGTCTAGGATGGAAATGGACCTTGGAGTTCAAAAACAAAATGATTCTTCGTTATTTTTGGCTTTTGAAGGCTATATCCACTGTTTTCTATGACATCGTCAGTAATATTAAATTTCGATTTCTTCGGTTCTCCGCCCAAAGAGATCAGTATGGGTTAATTACTCTGATATAACTTCGTCATGAAAGTTAACATGAATTCATTTGGGAGAAGACATATGAGGCCAGATGTAAGTGTCCACTGAGTACGTACCTGGTCCCTTTCAACAGTGCATCTCTATCTGTAATCCCCCCACCATAGTATGCTCCTGGAAATATCAATTTTGGACACCACAAAGTTTATATAGTCTTGATCAGGATAAAATTCGTTGTCAATTTAGCCATAACCGTCCAAATACTGAATATCCAGAGCTATCGTTGTATGGGGGATATACGAAGACTTGGACCAGCACAGACAATTTTTTGTCTTAGGCTGTAGTATTCATTACGAACTTCAAACACCAAATTTAAAACAATTCCGGTGAATAATAATCATCAAAATACAGAATATGCACAGACAATTTTCTGTCATAGGCTGTAGTACCCATTGCGAACTTCAAATACCAAATTTGCAACATTTCCGGCGAATAATGTTGCTTAAATTACCAAAATATCGAAAAAAGGGAGGTACCATATGGGGGCTATACCAAAACGTGGACCTACATCACCCATTTTCAATAACAAAAGTGCTGCAGACATAGTACACATTTGAGTAAAATTTTATCAATCTACTTCATTTTTTTCGGAAGCTACAGGATTTCTACAGACGGACAGACGGACGGACAATGCTAAATGGACATAGAATTTTAGGCTGATCAAGAAAATATATACTTTGTTGGGTCTAAAATGTATATTTCGAGGTGTTACAAACGGAATGACAAACTTAATATACCCTCCATACTATGGTGGAATGTGCTTTAAGAACCTTCTAACGAATGAAGAATCCAAAATGGCTTTAAAATAATATAGCCTCAGCTTTAAGGCTACAGGAGATATATAGTTTGTTACCCCAAAATTTTGGCTATCCGAAAAGATGCGTTTAGATTCCACGAAACCCGTTACAGAACATGTGGAATTGGTTCAGACGTGGCCATCTGTCTGAGAGGGTGATGCGTACCACAACTCTCAATGGGAGTATATTCGAGGTGTGCAAACGCTGTTTAATTTAATCTTCCATCGAGTCCAGGGATTAGCAATAGGGGACTATTTGTTTAGGTTCTTATCCACAAAAGGCAGGGTGAGATAAAAAATGCAACAAAGTCAAACGCCATCATTTTTACATTTTTTTTTAAATTTTATTAAATCAAAGCAAAAAATATCGAAAATAGCATCAAATTTTAGAATAAGTTTAGATTTGTTCCAATTGGTCATCTTTGGCACGAATTATGGCCTTCAAACGGCCAATGAAACTGTCACACGCTGCCCGAATGTTGTTCTGAGGTATTTTGGTTCATTCCCGGCGAAGCGCTTGCTTGAGGTGATCGACACTTTGGTAGTTTTTAGTGCCAACCTTGCTTTCCAGAATACTCCTGACACATTAGTCAAACGGATTGGTATTCGAAGATTTAGGTGGAAGCTACTCTTTAGCTCTTTTGAGTCCATTTTCTTTCTGTAAGTTCTTGCACTTTTTGAAAATTCAATGGCTTTATCCCGAGCTCATTTTTCAATATTTGCCAAATGGAATATTGCGATATGTTCAGCTCACGAGCCATTTTTCGGCCACTCGCTTCTTTACATTTCGAACCATTTCCGCTGATGTTTCTGTTTTCTTCCATCCACTTCCTTGACGTCGGGCTACGCTACCAGTATCACATTAAAATGCTGGAGTGCTCTAACGATAGCCACTTGTGGTTTTCCAGCCAAATATCAAGAAATCATACTATCACGCTTGAATTCCATTGCGAATAACTTTTCTTCTGGAAAATTCTCACCAAAATGCTTTTGTACGCTTGTAAACAATATAATGAGCTGTCACTGGAATAATTTTAACAGATGTCGAACGAGTGGCTTAGAAATGAAAGCAGTCTGAAGTTGGTTAAATTTTTTTCATCTCACCTTGTATTATCATTATACCCTACAATACTATATATTGGGGGTATTTTAATTCTGATTGGACCAAAAAGTTTGTAATATTTCGAAATATTGATCCACGACATGGGAAGTGTTATATATTCCTATCTCACTGAGCTGCGTCGATGTTGCTATGTGTGTCCGTCCATCTGTTCATGTTAATTTGTAATCCCGCTACGGGTCGCAATTTTTGTCCGATCTTCTAGAAATGGAGGTGGGGTTAAGGTCGGAATATCAGCCTATTGTTGGGGGAGCAAAATATATACTTTGAAGCATAAAATGTGCCCGATTTTGCAATTACTCAACAGGTGGACTCATACTTTTTTGGAAAAATTACGACAATTTCCAGCGAAATCACAAACGCACGAATAGGTCATTTCGAACATTTACATTGATGCTGATATTCAAGATATCGAATATATCACAAACTATAAACAACCTCATGTTTCAAAGAAGGGATCTTAGTCAAACTGCCAATAACAGCTGGACGGATTTTGACTTTAATTTGGCAGAAAATAATAAAATCTAAAAGATCCGTCTAATTCGATTTTTTAGATTTTATTATTTTCTGCCAAATCAAAGTCAAAATCCGACTCGAATAAAAATGTGATTTTGTTTTTTTTTTTTTATTATTTTTTGTCACATTTTTTATGGCATGAGATTTTTTCAATTTTACTTACAACACTCTGTGTTGGTGGTATATTATTCAGATCGCAATTATCGCTCGATCTTCACTAAATATTGGATGGGAGTAGATTTATGATCAGAATAGAATCCTCTTTGTTTTTGAAGATTTATGGTTTAAAATGGATCAAAAACATAAAAATTTTGTAGAAATTTAATTAAAAACCAATAGATTTGGGATTTTTTATGAGGTTAGAGTTTAGGGCAGCCCCGGAGCCTAACGTTTTGGATTGTTATCGGGTAATATTTAGCTGGTGAAATAGACAACTATTTTTGTGAAAAAATACAAAAATTATCCAAATCACAAATACATGAAAGACTGATATTCTGATTTCGTTGTCGAATATATCCAAATGTCGGGGATACAGGAATATAAATTTTCAAATATCGTTTTGCAACAGCTACGAAGCTATGCATGACCTCGTGATTTAGGTCATATCCCAAGATAAAAATTTTGCAGGACTATTTTCAGTACACATTCAGTAAACACTCATTTCCACAAATATTTAGTGAAAACATGTGATTATAGCCGTGTGACACCCATAAAAGTCACAACTTCGTTAACCCAAAATGATGTAGTCAGGATTCACTTGAACTAATCATTAAGTTGTGTTGGAAAATATTTTTTTCTTTTCGAAATTGGTTTGGTAAACATATTACAATAAAAAAATTCTTATGCGACTGGGAAAATTCCAAGTGTATTACTTACGGCACTTTTCAAAATCAAATTAATTTTTATTTTTTAGTCATTTTGAACTTAATACAATATTTTCAATACCATTAAGTAAAGTTAGCACACAAAAGAAAAATTTCCTATATAAATGAAGTATTTCTTTATATCCAGATTTCGTTAATCTTCATATTCAATAATCTTTATAACTCCCAAACATTTATTTCTTACTCATTTCAGGTCCTTGTCACTTTGGCTCTTGTCGCTAGCGCTGCTGCCGCTCCCGGTTACTTGGGCGGTTATGGCGGTCATGGTCTCTTAGGTGGCCATGCCATCGCTGCTGCTCCAGCTATTTCATATGCTGCACCAGCTAAGCTCGCTGCTCCAGCCATCTCGTATGCCGCCCCAGCTATTGCTCACGCCCCAGCCATCTCCTATGCCGCTCCTGCCATTACCAAAATTGCTGCTGCTCCTGCCATCTCTTATGCCGCACCTGTGGCCAAAGTCGGTTATGCTGCTCCCGCCTTGGGTCTGGGTTATGGTCATGGTTTGGGATATGGCGGTTTGGGTTACGGTCATGGTTTGGGCTATGGCCATGGTTTGGGTTTGGGCTACGGTCATGGTTGGTAAATACGGCCGACAGTTGTTAAAACAGTATTTATAAATCAGTTTGGATGAAAACTAAATTTGAACGATGGAAGAGGGAGACAGAAAAGGAAAGTGGGCGTGACTGGAGAAGGAATGATTGTTAATTTGGTTAAAAAAAACGAAATTTTCTGTTGTGAATTATTATATGAGTGTATATATTGTAAATAATAATAATAAAATCTAATTAAATACTCCAATGGAATTTGTTTTATTTGCATGCAAGCCCAGTTTAAGGGAAAGGAATTTGTATGGTCGTTAAGGGTGCTAAAAACAATGAAGAAAATTTTAAATGAACTATTTTGATTTGATTTTCAGAAAATGTGAAAAAAAAAACATAAAAAAGGAAATTAATGCTTACGAAATAATCAGTCACAATGATACACAAGAATTCAAAGTTTTCGACATTTTCATCTTATGTGGAAGAGATTACTAAAGTAGATCACTTTACCTTGCGCGATATTTGTCTTTGTGTGGTTTATAATTGCTATCGTTTGTTGTGGAGCGGTCTAAAAGGTTTTATTTTTTTGTGAAATATTTAAATTCGTTGATATTTCCTAATATTCTTTTTGTGGTAGTGGAAGAAAACTGCCTATGCTGACCATTTGTGGTGGAGGTCCTAGAAGGAGTAAATATCATTCAAGTGCAATGGGAATGTGCTAAGTTTTTCATTTTATGACATTGTAGAATCAGAAGGAATGGCCCAGGATTAAAGGCTTACAAAATATTTCCATGTAAAAACTTTAGATGAGTCTGGCTATATGATCTATGATTTTGAAAATTTTTAAACCTTCTATGGGGTTAGGGGCACTTGACAATCGATTGTATTTTGACAGAAATATTGTGTTCTTTATACCGTTCACCATAATATGTAGGGTATATTAAGTTTGTCATTCGGTTTGTAACACCTCGAAATATACATAAAATTCCATGTCGATTTAACGATGACCGTCGATTTGCCTGCCTGTCTGTCTGTCTGTAGAAATCACTCAAGCTTCCGAATGAATTGAATTACCTCCGTACATTAACGACATTGTTGACCGGAATCGTTTCAAATTTCGTAATGATAGTTCGTAATGGGTACTACAGCCTCTGACGAAAAATTGGCTTCTTTGAATAGCTCCCACATAACGGTACCTCCCTATATCCGATATATGATGATTTTAGAGATATTATTCACCGGAATTGTTTGAAATTTCGTAATTGAATTTCTAATAGGTACTATAATCAATGACTGAAAATTGTCTATGCAGGTCTTCGTCAAGCCTCCATATAACGGTACCTCCCTATATTCGCTATTTTGATGATTTTAGCTACATTATTCTCCGGAATTGTTTACAATTTCGTATTTGCACTTCGAAATGGGTACTACAGCCTGTGACAGAAAACTGTCTATGCGAGTCCACGTCTTCGTATGGACCACAAAATAACAGAATTTGAACAGAATTTTTAACCAATTCTATTATTTATTTTTTTGCTTTCTGAAAATTTCTAAATTTTTTCCAAATGCTTTTTAATTTTTTTTTTTTAAATATTTACTTTCGATTAGGTCAAATGAAGTCATAAATAGGTAGTCCCATTTACCAATAATATTAGGTTTGTCATTCCTTTTGTAACTCCTCCAAATAGACAGAATTCTGTGGGGTCTAAAATTCAATTTTAAACCGAATTTGCTTTAGATTCCTAGTTTGTATTCCCTCTATGTCGGAAATATTCTTGCACTGAACTGTCCATATAGGTTCAAATTTTATTATATCTTTACCTCCAGGGAATTGTTCTAAATTTTGGTATTATAAACTCATAATGGGTGCAACCTCCCATTAAAGAAAAATTTCTTTACATATCTACATCTTATAGCCCATATCACATAGTGCAATTCTATATTGTAAGTCAAATTGAAAATATATGAGATATTTTTTAAAATAATTGTAAAAAAATGAAAAAAAAAAAATAGAAATTGTGGCAAAAATATTCACTTCTCCTTTTCTGTCGAGAGGTCAGCCAACGGCCCAGCCGTTTTCGAGTTATAAACCTTCTAAATAACATCCCTTTCTTTTCTTGATTTTATTACGCCAGGATTAAAAATATTTGCGATTTAGTGGATTTTTTGCCACCCTCTAAATATTACCCAATGACCTTCTTGTTTTATATTAGTAGGCCTATGCCCCGCCCTAAATTAGTATTTTTTGCTTGATCCATTTCAACCACTAGCAATATTGCGTTCATCTCCAAAAAACAATGGACTTATATTCTGACCTTACTCCCATCTTCAAATCAAATTCATGTGCAGTAGGGTACAACCACGACTCCGTGCAGGGCCACGTCTTTGAATAGACCCCATATAACGGTACCTCCGGATATTCGGTATTTTGATGATGTTAGCGTTATTATTCACCGGAATTGTTTCAAATTTCGTACATGGAGTTCCTTATATGTACTAACATCTATGATTGAAAATTGTTCATGCAGTTTCTTGTCTTCTTATAGCCCCCATATAACGATACCTCCCATTTTTCGGTATTTTGATGATTAGAGCCAAGTTTTTCTATGATTTTTTTTTTTTTAAATTTACAGAAGGAATTCTTCCCGAATGCTCTACCCACTGGAAGAGAATTGCCTATATTGGCCCATGTATATCCTCCACATAACGGTGTCTTCTGATGTTTGGTATTTCATGATTTTATTTATAATTTTCAATGGAATTGAAAGTCCACACAAGAAATTATTTCTGAGTACTTTACTCCATGAAATAGAACTGTCTATATAGGTACACGATATTGCATGCCACCCATACAACAGTCCCCCTGATATTCCGTATTTTGATGATTTTAGCGACAGTATTCACCGGAATTTTTCAAATTTCGTTTATGAAGGTCCAACCTTTGACGGAATATTTGCTACGTAAGTTAATGTCTTTGTATAACCCACATATAACGATTTTCATTTAAGAGGTATTTTTTGATGGATTTTTTTTTTAATTTTTAAAAGTTCCTTCCCAATGGTGGAGGGTATAAAAAGTTCGGCAGGGGCGAATTTAGCTGCTTTTTTACTTGCTTATGAAATTTTTTGCTGTACATACTTCCACAACCAGTCTTATCTATTGTCCCGCATTCATGGTGGTTGATATTCAAAATGTGATCCCACCTCTAAAAGAATGGAATTTCGGTCCAAAAATAAAGTTTAAAGCTTTTTTCCGTTTTTTTTGGTATGAAACTCTGAAATAACCATCTCAGGCGGTAAAAAAGTCAAGACCTAGCGGGTAAAAATGTTAAAAAATTACAACTGTCCTAAAATTCCAAACAATTTATAGTTTTTTTTTTGTAACACATTCTGATATTGTATTTATTATTAATAATTCTAATACCTCTTACACTCAGGGTAAACACTTTTAAAACAACGCATAGGTACCTTGAAAGCGAAGGGGTATTCAAAACCTATTTCATCGTATTTACGGTATTATGTTCAATTCAGGCCCACATAGGCCCAATCCTTATTTTCCATGAAAAAGTCATAACTGTAATCGAAATGGTGGTACCAAACCTAGATCAAGTATGCATTTGGACAATATCCGAAAAAAATTCAACCATTTGAGTAATAATAGTTTTCTTAAAATGAGTTCCCGTTTTTTTATACCCTCTACCTTGGAAAGGAGGGTATATTAACTTTGTCATTCCGTTTGTAACATCCTTAAATATTCGTCGTAGACCCCATAAAGTATATATATTCATAATCAGCATACAATTCTAAGTCGATTTAACGATGTCCGTCTGTCTGTCCGTCTGTCTGTCTGTCCGTCTGTCTGTCCGTCTGTTGAAATCACGATACAACCCACATTATTTGACGTAGAGCGCCAAAATTTAGCAGAGCTATTTACATTGTGCCTAGGATGGTTGGTATTGAAAATGAGATATACCGGTCCACGTTCTGGTATAGTCCCCATATAACGGTACCTCCCGATATTCGGTATTTTGATGATTAATGCCACATTTTTTCACGGATTTGTCTGGAAATTGGTACTTGTAGGTCATAATGGGTCCCTGTACGTGTGACAAAACATTGCATGTATGGGTTTTGGTTTAGCCCCCATATAAAGGTACCTCCCGATATTCGGTATTTTAGTTTTTTTTTGCCACATTTTTTCACGGATTTGTCTAAAAATTGGTATTTGTTGGTAATAATAGGTTCCAGCTCCGGTGGCGAAACATTGTATGTATGGGTCCATGATTTGGTATAGCTCCCATATAACGATACCTCCCAATATTCGGTATTTTGATGGTTTTTGCCACATTTCTTCTAATATTTCCTTTACCCTAAGGTGGAGTGTATTAAAAGTTTGGCCCAGCCGAACTTAATGTTTATACCCTACACCACAAGGTGGTTAGGGTATTATGTCTTTGTGCATTTGTTTGAAACAGGCAGAAGGAAACGAGATAGACCCATAGTTCCTTTTGATGATCTGCATAGAATCACATTCTGAGTCGATTTATGCATGTCCGTCCGTCCGTCTGTCCATGTATTTTTGTAAACAAAGTAAAAGTCGCATTTATTGCCCGATCCAGATGAAATTTTGCAAAGATCTTTTGTTTGGCCCAAGGACGAACCCTATTGAAATTGGAGATAATCGGTCAAAATTTAGATATAGCTCCCATATATATCTTCGTCCGATTTGCCTTTTATTGTGCACCAAACGTGTAATACCGAATTGTATGGAATTTTGCATATACACCCAAATTAGGCCTGAAAATATGTATGCCAAATTTGATCGAAATCGGTTCAGATATAGCAATAGCTCCCATATATATATTTCATCCGATTTGTTATTTTTGTCCACCGCCGCCGTAATATGCACTATGCAACAACAATATTTGGGGAAATATATCAAATACAGCTCAGAAATACAGTTGCTAAATTTTATCGAGATCGGTTCAGATTTGGATATAGCTCCCATATAAAACTTCGTCCGATTTAACTTTTAATGTGCACCAAACGTCTAATATTTGTCCAAATGGGATGGAATTTGGCACGCACGACCGAATTGAGTCTAGAAGCTAGTATGTCAAATTTGGTGAAGATCGGTTCAGATATAGCTATAGCTTCCATATATATTATTCATCCGATTTGTTTTATTTGTTACCCACAACCGTAATATGCCCTCCGTAACAACGATATTCAGGGAAATATATCAAATACAGCTCAGAAATATCTTTGCCAAATTTTATCGAGATCGGTTCAGATTTGGATATAGCTCCCATATATATCTTTATCCGATTTCAAATTAATTGTGCATATTTAGTCCTTTGAACTTTAAATTATAATTATAATCATAGCGTGTATGATTGAATTCTCCCATAAAAATTTTTAATTGTTATGCGGAGCTCTACTTAATTAGTAAAGTGGTGTAGGGTATCATAAAGTCGGCCCGCCCGACTTTAAGACTTTCTTTACTGGTTTTTTACTTGTTTTAAACTCCGAACTTGACCTATAATTTGCGATTTATTTGCTGATGGTCTAATGAAATAAATGTTCAACCTACAGACACTCGCCTATGTTTTGTGGCACATAATTATTAAAAGCAATCGAAGGCTATAAAAATTATTTGTTTCTTAGCCTAACAATATTGATTTAAAGCCGAATCATATCCATAGGCTTAAATTTACAAAAACAAATACTCAAATTACTTCATACAAAAAGTGTTCGACATTCAATCAGTTGCTACAAACATGATTTAATCCAAACATCTGAAATAATTGTTGGTTTGTGGGAAAGAATAAACCAAAGCTATAATTTTGTGTTGTTCTTGACAACATTCTATTAAAATTTACGATATTACAATTTACTGAAGTTCAAGTGGATGCATGTGTACATATGTTTCAACACATGCTTTTGCTGTAAATTGTTTAGAAAGTTCAAATCAAATTCTAGATTCTTTACTATAAAAACCCCAGAGTAATCAGCAGAGATATGCAAACATAATTCAACAGTTGTTGTGTTCACAGAAGCTGATATCCTTTGACAATTCCAAAAATGTTTAAATTTGTGAGTAAATTTAATGAAAAGAAAAACTTTTGTTGATAAAAGTTTAAACTTTAAATTGAATATCCTGAATATGTTTTATTTTTCAGATCCTTGTAGCTTTCGCAATGATTGCCAGCGCTATGGCTGCTCCTGGTTATGTGGCTGGTGGTTATTTGGGTGGACATGCCATTGCCGCAGCACCTGCCATTACGTATGCCAATACCTATGCGGCTCCCACCATTACGAAAATTGCTGCTGCTCCTGCCGTCGCCTATGCTGCTCCTGTCGCAAAAGTCGGCTATGCTGCACCAGCCTTAGGCTTAGGCTATGGTCATAATTTGGCTTATGGTGGTTTGGGTTATGCCCATGGTTTGGGTCATGTTTGGTAAAATGGAAGAAATAATGAATGAATCCAAGAATTGAATACGACAAAGTTGTTATCCTCGAAACGCTTATTTATCGAAATTATTTATTATTATCATTTGAAGCATTATTTTGAAATTTCCTCGATTTAAATATATATATTGAAATTTGCATACAGACATTGTCTAATTAACTTCACTTACTTGCCATGTAGGTAGATGTGGGTGAGTAGGGTTGAGATAAGACAGGGTTTTTGGAAATTCACACAAAGTACTAAAAAGTAATGAAAAGTTCGATTTTATGCCAAAAGTGATTATTTTATTTTTGTAGAATCTTCAAATTTCGCATGTTGGTCACTACTAACGCGAGTCCTAAGACAAGTTGGGGTTTTTTTTGGAATTTCTTACTGGGTGAGAGAAAAAACTGCAACCAACTTCAGACTGCTGTCATTTCTTAACCACTCTTCCGACCGCTTTTAAAATTATTCAAGTGACAGTTCATTATATTGTTTACAAGCGTACAAAAGCATTTTAGTGGGAATTTTCCAGAAAAAAAGTTGTTCGTGATGGAATTCAAGCGTGATAGTGTGATTTCTTTATGTTTGGCTGGAAAACCACAAGTGGCTTTCGTTAGAGCACGCCATCATTTAAATGTGAATAAGTATTTTGAGTCTCGTACCATCGCTCGTTATCGTGATACTGGTAGCTTAGCCCGACGTCAAGGAAGAGGACGGAAGAAAACAGCAACATTAGCTGAAATGGTTCGAAAAGTAAGAGGAGACGAAAACTGCGTCGCAGTGGCCAAAAACTGGCTCGTGAGCTGAATATATCGCAATATTCCATTCTGCAAATATTGAAAAATGAAATCGGGGTAAAGCCATTGAAATTCCAAAAAGTGCAAGAACTTACATCGCAACAGAAAGAAGAACTAAAGAGTTGCTTTGCTTGACCGAAAGTGTTGAACTGCCGAATTTGGGTTTCTACGATGAGAAAACATTCGTGGTTCAGTAGTTTGTATACAAACAAAATGATCGTGTTTACTTGCCAAAGAGGTCAGCTGAAAATGTTCACCTTCGTTTGGCCACCAGAAATTAAGCGCCGGCTATGGTGATGATGTGGGCCGCCATAACAGCAGATGGTCAATCTCCGCTCGTATTAATCGACCGTAATATAAGAATAAATGCCGAATATTATCTCGAAAATTTTGGAAAACAAGGCTGGCACTAAAAAATACCAAAGTGTCGATCACATCAAGCAAGCGCTTCGCCGGGAATGGCCCAAAATACCCCAGAGCAACATTCGGGCCGTTTGAAGGCTATTATTCGTTTCAAATGTGACCAATTCGAACAAATCTAAACCTTTTCTAAGATTTGATGCCATTTCCGAATTTTTTTGCTTTCATTTAATACAATTGTTTTTTCCGATCTAGATGAAATTTTGCACAAATCATTCGTTTTGACCCAAGGACGAACCCTATTGAAATTGGAGATAATTGGTAGAAATTTAGAAATAGCTCCCATATTTGTCTTCGTCCGATTTGCCTTTTATTGTGCTCTTAACGTGTAATATCAGCCCGAATAGTACGGAATTTGCACATACGACCAAATTAGGCCTGAAAATATTCATTCCAAATTTAATCGAAATCGGTTCAGATATAGCTATAGCTCCCATATGTATTGTTCATCCGATTTGTTATATTTGTTCTCCACAGCCGTATTAAGCACTCTGTAACAACGATCTTCGGAGAAATATATCAAATTCAGCTTATAAATACCTTTGCCCGATTTTAACGAGATCGGTTCAGATTTTGATATAACTCCCCTATTTATCTTCGTCCGTTTTTCTTTTCATTGTGTGTCAAACCTGTAATATCAACTCAAATTGTATGGAATTTGCTCTTACATCCAAATTGAGCCTAGAAACAGGTATGTCAAATTTGGTGAAAATCGGTCCAGAAATAGCTATTGATTCCAAATATATTGTTCATCCGATTTATAATATTTGTTCTCCACAGACATAATATGCCCTCCGTAACAACGATATTCGAGGAAATATATCAGAAATACCTTTGCCAAATTATATGGAGATGGGATCAAATTTGGATATAGCTCCCATATATATCTTTATCCGATATCGAGTTAACTGTGCACCAAATGGTTAATAAAAGCCCGAATTTTAAAGGCACAAATGTCTCGGCAAATTTAATAGAAATCTATTCAGAGGAGGATATTCCTCTAATATATTGGTTACTTTAGACTTTAGATGGACTTTAACTATAATCATAGTTGGTATAATTTAATAATAAAACAAGTATAGAACAAGTAAGCAAAGGCTATAGTCGTGCGGGGCCGACCATGTGATACCCTACAACATTACAATATGTTAAAAGCACTCGATATCCAAGTCCATTTTGGAAGATTTCGCTTTTGAAATTTTGTCATGGAGCACTGCCCAGATATTGCCCTTGCCATTTTGACCAGGGACATTTGCGCACTCCGTCCTGCTGTTAGTTTTTGTGGTCCATTTTACAGCTAAATATAATCCAATGGGCATCCAAAAAGCTAGAATTTTTCCCTATCCTTAACTCTCTTCTCAGGCATGTCGATTGGCTTCAATTGTGTGATCAGTAATTTTTTCTGTTTTGGTTCAAGAAGCCGTTCTGCATCTACAAATTTAGACCCATCTATATGATTTGCTTATCTACGATATTTGGCTATATTCATCAACAAAATCATCATAAAAAAGCCAGGAGTTCGTCTTTTGTGTACATCGGATATCGCCTGTAAGTAATGTTGGCATTTTTTTTAACACAAAAGTAGTGGTCCATTCTATCCGCTGTCCTTTGGCTTCTATTTGCAACCTTATAACGGCTGCAAAATCAGGAACATTTTTAGTGGTTGATCCATTTCAACTCCTAAATATATTGCGGTCATCTTTGAAAAAAATTCTGAGCCTAACCCTACCCTTGTGAAAATTTTTGTGAAGATCGGACGATAATTGCAATATAACCCCAACCCGTGTTGTAAGGTGAAAAAAATTTACAAAATGTACATTTCAATATTATAAGTCAAATTGAAAAAATCGCATGCGATAAAAATATGAAAAAATAAAAAATGTCACAAAATACTACAAAATCTATAATAACACCATTATTGACCCATTTTGTTATATTTTGTTCTCTTATGCTAAGAGGGCATTCTAAATTGACAAAATTTGTCAAAATCGGTCCAGCCATTCTTGAGATATAAGCTTTTTAGCTAACATCCCCTTCCTCTGTACATATACATTGTACATATTTCGCTATATAAATCCGATATATTTACTATCGGCATCTACGTAACGGTCAGGATTGACCTGTTCGTCTATTTGTGATTTCGCCGGCATAAAAAATATTCGCGGTTTAATGGAAATTTTGACTTTTATTTATCACAAATGCTATGGTCTATTTCAGCCACTAAATGTTACCCGATGACCATCAAAATTGGGATGCTTCTGCCCAGCCCAAAGCTCTAGCCCCATGCTAACTTTCGCTTCGATTGGTCTATACTTGTGACCTGTGCAACTGCAAAATCAGGAAATTTTCCAGATTTTGGTCCATTTCAACTCCTAGATATTATGCGATAATCTCCAAAAGAAATAGGGTACTATTCTGACATTAACCCCACCTACATTTTAAATTTCGTGAAGATCGAGCCATAATTGCGACCTGTAGAGTGATTACAAATTAAAATGGACAGACGCACAGACGGACGGACGGACATACATAGCTAGATCGAATCAGCTCGGCGAGATAGGAAGATCCATATATACTTTCCTATGTGGGAAACCAATATTTCGTGGTGTTACATAATTTTTGGCCCAATCAAACTTATAATACCCCCAACACATAGTGTAAATAAACATTGAGTTCGGATGGGGCGAATTTTTAATACCCTCCACCTTAGGGTAGAAGAAAAATTAGAACCCATTATGACCCACAAATACCAATTTTTAGACATATTCGTAGGAAAATGTGGCAAAAGTTATCAAAATATCGAATATCGGGAGGTACCGCTATATAGGAGCTATACAAAAGCGTGAACATACACATACAATGTTTCGCCAACGGAGCTAGAACCCATTAGGAAACACAAATATCAATTTTTAGACAAATCCGCGAAGAAATGTGGCAAAAATCATCAAAATACCAAAAATCGGGAGGTACCGTTATATGGGAGGTATACCAAAACGTGACCCTATACATACAATATTTCGCAACACGAACTAGGACCCATTATGACCTATAAATACCAATTTTTATACAAATCCGTGAAAAATGTGGCAAAAATCATCAAAATACAAAATATTGGGAGGTACCGTTATATGGGGACTATACCAAAACATGGACCGATATATCTCATTTTCAATACCAACCATCCTAGACACAACACAAATTGTTGTGCTAAATTTTGACGCTCTACGTCAAAAAATGTGGGCTGTTTCGTGATTTCAACAGACAGACGGACAGACATACCGACGGTCATCGTTAAATCCACTTAGAATTTTATGCTGATTATGAATATATAAACTTGATGGGGTCTACGACGAATATTTAGGGATGTTACAAACGGAATGACAAAGTTAATATACCCTACTTTCCAAGGTGGAGGATATAAAAAAAATTTTATTTGTTTTTTGAAGTTCTACTTAATATACAAAGTGTTGTTGGTTATCATAAAGTCGGCTACGCCCGACTTTAAGCCTTTCTTTAGTGTTTTTTTATGCGGGAGGTACTGTAATGAGTGGGACGATTTTGCTTATTATACCCTCCACCTTGGAAAGGAGGGTATATTAACATTGTCATTCCGTTTGTAACATCCTTAAATATTCGTCTTAGACCCCATAAAGTATATATTTTCATAATCAGCATAAAATTCTAAGTCGATTTAACGATGTCCGTCTGTCTGTCTGTCTGTCTGTCTGTCTGTCTGTCCGTCTGTCTGTTGAAATCAAGATACAGCCCACATTATTTGACGTAGAGCGCCAAAATTTAGCAGAGCTATTTGCATTGTGTCTAGGATGGTTGGTATTGAAAATGAGATATATCGGTCCACGTTCCGGTATAGTCCCCATATAACGGTACCTCCCAATATTCGGTATTTTGATGATTTTTGCCACATTTTTCCAC